ATCCATGGGCTTGATTCTCAAGTCCCTCCTCCTACCTCCGAGTTAGAGCATCCATCTTCGGGGCTATTGCACTGTGTTACGAAAAGGGAAGGATTCAGTTCGACTTGCTCCACAGATGTACTTATCATTCCGGAGGTTGATGATAGAGCTCGCGTGGGAAAAGCTCTATGTCTAGAGTTGGGAATTGCTCGTACCCGAGACCTCTTTATACAGAACATGACCACCCGGTTCCACTATGCCCGCCTTCGAACCACACTGCCCGGGCTACCACTTCTGAAAAATACGAAGGCATGGCACAATCGTCACTTCTTCTTAGATCCCGGTTGAGTTCTCTTCAGGTTTCGTCAAGCTAATGACGTTAAACAAGCGCTTCTTGGGAGGCAACCCAAGTGATTTACTGCTTTATTAGATATTTTTCTTTTCGCTTTTTAGTTTTATCTTGGAATAATGGGAGTTTGGAGTTTCGTGATTTTCTTAGTGGCAGGGATGAGTTCGCAAGGCTGATCATAGGCGAGCTACTTGCACATGCATGCTATTTCTCCTCGAGGCACTTCGGTTTGCACACCCTTTTCTTATTTTCTCTTTTTAAGTTGTTTCTTTCTTTTGTCTTTTCTTTTGAGTTTGTGTCTTGTGTTAGCTGCTAGTTTGGTTCATTATATGAAAATGTTGGGTCCTATTATGTGACTTCCGGTTTTTGTTGAAGCAATGAGGTCATTGCCTCATTCTAAGTGTGGGGGAGTTTATTTGGATTTTGCATGTTTATGTGGTGGACCGGTCTAGCTCTAGGTTTTTGTGTTGTTGACCATGGTATTGGTGGATTATATGAATTGTTGATGAATGTTTGATGAAATTGGGAAGTTATGATAACGAGCGTGTTGGTCATTGCCTCGGTATTTGCTTGATTGCTTTGAGTGACATTTATTTACCATGTAAGGTTTTGAGCCTTATGCTTTTCTTGTGAGATATTGGTCATATTCTTGAATGATTAGAACTTGCCTTGAGTTTGTTTGAAAGGAATCCATTGAGTTTGAAATTGCGAATATGATTGAGGCGTTTTGTTTGATTAGCTCTCTTTAGCCTTGTTCTTTGATCCTAAACTTTTTTTTTCTCTAGTAACCCATTTGAGCTTTGAGCCTTTTTCTTGTCACCCTACATGAAATAAATTTCGTTGACTGATTCGGTGATGATTGGTGAAAATGGTGTTGTTGTTGAATGAGGTGAATTGGAGTGGATTCTATTGCTTGACCTAATAAAAAAAAGCAAAAAAAAAATAAAAAATAAAAATAAAATAAAATAAAATAAAAACATGAGAGCTCACAGGACCAATCGAATGGATTCTGCTCCTCTTACTAGTCGACTCATGTCCACGGGTAATGAGCATGGGAAACTACTGTAGGACACTTGGATAACCTCCAATGTTCACACCTACAGAATATTGTCCTTTTGATTCGATCTTGTTCGAAAAAAGTGACTCTCTAAATAAAAAAAAATGAAGAAAAAAAAAAGAAAAAAAATGGGTCAAGTGATGTTGTAGTTCGATGAGAGCAGTTAGGTGTTGTTTGTGGAATTGTTTTGGTTGGTTGGTGAATGTGCTATATTGTTCATTCCGGATCTGTAGCAGAGAACACGAGTAATCTATTTACTCGAGGATGGTGAATGTATATTTGAGCTATTTTTCTGGCATATATATCCTTACCTCAATCCCGCATTGCAACCCGTGAAGTCCTCTTGATTCGCAAGTTTTTTAGCTTTGATTGTTTTCGAGTAATTTAAACGATTGACAAGCATATGTTGAAACTTGAATATTGACCAAATTTGAGCGTTCCTATCACTTATTCATGTAAGAAAATGAGTGAGGCATATATGATATTCTATGTTTTGAGAGTTTGTCATTTCAAGGCCAAGTCGATATTTGAGGCACATGGCCGTATGTTTGTTTGAATTCTTCTCAATTGAATTGGGCATTTTGAAGCTTTTCTCATTTGAAACCGAATCCATGTTGTTGTCTTGTTTTGTTTTCTTTTTGTTCGGGACGAACAAAGGATTAAGTGTGGGGGAGTTGTTTGTCCCTATTTTGTTGCATTTTTCGTTGTCTTTTTGTCTTTCTTTTTCCCCCATAATGAGTCTTTTCTTTGGGTTTTATTTGTTTTTGTAGTTTATTGCGTGTTTTGATCTATTTCAGTTTTTTTTCTTGTGTTTCCGTGTGTTTTTTCCGTTTTTCTTTGTTTATGGTGTGTAGGTCTGAAGCTTCAAGAGGACATAATTTTGGGCAAAAGCTTATTGTGCAAGCATAATTAAATAGAGGAGTTCGTTGGCAACACACAGGAAAAAGCGGAATCGAATTCCGAGTCCAAACGAACCCGAACGAGCCCAAACAGTGAAATCGTGCAAAGCTGCCATAGCGGCGCTATGGCCCCAGATAGCGCCGTTACATAGCAAAGCGATGGGCAGAGGCTCGAGCATTTCATCCCAAAGCGCCGCTATGGTCGTAGCGGCGCTATGACCCCCTGCAAGTCCCAGAATAGTATAAAAAGCCCCAAAACTCGTTTTTTCTCCATTCTTTTCACTTCGAGCTTGAAGGGGGAGGAACCCTAGGTCCAAAAATCTCCTCCCCCCTTCACTTACCTTCATATTCTTCTCTTCTTCTTCTTATTCTTCTTCTTCTTCATTTTCTTCTTCTTTTTATCTTTATTTTCCATTTTTCACCTAGAAATTGTTCTTGCTTTTGGAATTAAGCTTGTAATTGATATTCAACACTTGGATTTGAGATTAATCGTAAGTTTCTTTTCTCTTATGTTTAATTCATGAATAATGGTTGAATTGGGAGAATTGATTATGTGTGTTGGATTGAATTTACGTAGCTAATCTTATCGCTAGGGATAGGGGAATGATTGTTCTTGTTTAACGTGCATCTCTCGGGCTTGAAATTGTTCTTTCTTATGTGAGTTGTTTCGATTAGGGATTGATATATTCTTGCTTGATTGATTGATATAATCGAAGAGTGACACTTCGATCTTGCAGTATGAGTTAAGGCTCTCCATTATTCACTAGGTACCTTAGTGATTAGTCGATTAACACTCTTCTAGTTAAATTAGCGACTTTTTGAACCGAAAGGGGAGAAGTCGTAGACTTAGGCTCACATGAGGTAGACGATGTCGTAATTGACTAATCTACGTGTTTTAGATTGAAATACGCACTTGTCAATGACCCGTCCCTTGTTACGAAAAGTTATTGGGATTGGAATAATTGGCCTGTGTTGTATGCTCGAACTTGTTCGTCCATGTTCAATCCCTTGTTACGAAGAGTTATTGGGAGCGAACCGCTAGATGTCTAAGCGAGAGTGTCAATCTTGAACCGAACAATTGATTGCCCGGTTTTGCTATAACTTGAATTAATTATCCCCGACTCCCTAGCTTCTTTTTCATTGTTTCGTTTATCTTCTTAGGTAGGTTATTGCTTTTTATTATTTCTTAGCTGATAATTATTCATCCATCCTTATTCGATTAGAGTGTTTAGGTTTGTTTTCTTTCTATGTGTTATCGATATCAGAACTAAATTCCGAACAGCCTTCCTCGTGAGATCGACCCGGGGAACGAATCTTTAGAGTCGGTACTCGGTAAAAAGAATAATTTGTACACAACAGTTAACGTTACATAATTGCATCCATGTCATCCAAGACTTGCGTTTGTTTACGTGTCACACAAATAAGACTAGACCCAATGCATTGTAGATTCTCTAATTATTTTTGTATTTTTTAATGTTAATTATACAATATAGTAATAAACAATAATTCTTTAGTTATAATAGTAATATACTAATCTTATTTTGATAATAATATATGATCAAATTAATTGATGTGAGTAAATTAATGAT